TTTTCCTTCCTCTTTCCGGATTTCCCCAGGTCCCGTCCGTCGCCGAAAAAAAAGTAAAAAAAAAAAAAAAAAAAACGTCGGTCGAGCACCGTCGCAAGTGTCAGCAACTTGCGTTCGATTTTTCCGGAATTAAGTGCTGGAAATATATTTTTTTGGATCGAAAATTTTTATTCCAGCTGATGTTGCGACGAATAATAAAATATTTATTCTAATTAACGAATTCGATTTTTGGGAAAGTTAAAAAGTTAAGACTTTCGTCGGTCGAATTGAAAAATTAAAAACCGAGATTGAAAAGAATTCTGGTGTAGTTTGTGAATTGTGTCAAAGTTGATATAAAATTTTTGCATCAAATTTCCGAATCAATTCTTATTAACTGTAGATAAATTTTGATAGTTGCGGAATCACTTTCATTTATTTTTACGAATAAGAATAAACTAGTGAACGGTATATAAAGATAAAACATAACTAATGGTTCACGACCATTAGTCTTATCTTTTTTCGAAGGTAAGAGAGTTAAAATGGAGAGCAATTCCATAAATTTCGTGGGGATTTAAAATTACGCCAGTCGAACGGAAAGGGCAAGAAGGACAAGAGAGATATATCTTCTGCGTTGGACGCATTCCGGATTTCCCCCATTAATATCAAACTTTTCCAGGCTCCAGGTATATTTTTTTCTAATTGAAAAGGTAAACATGTTTACGCAATAATTTTTCCTTCGCTCGATTATAAATTAAAATGTGATGTTTAATTAAAAAAAAAAAAAAAGAAAAAGATTTTTATTTGGCTTCTACTTCTTCGGTTATCATAAAAATTACAAAATATCCACCAGTTTATTTATCGCGTCTCTCTTGTAACACTTCCAAACAAATTTCCACAAATTATTAAATTACAAACAACATATAAAATCATGATTAATCGTCCGACTGATAATTCGTACCATTCATCACTTTTCACGTGAAACCGGGACGTTTTACCCGGCTACTTATAAACGGCAAACGTGTGCATACGTGGAAACATTACCATTCACAGGAACGAAATCGAATTTTAGGCGAAAGTGTTGATCTCACTGAATGAAATTCTTTGTATAATTTATTTAACAGCTGTTGGCGACATAAGCGCCGTATTAATTTAATCGTCGGCGGTCAATTTATATTTTATTCCGCGATTAATTAAAAAGATAATTTCCCCCCTCCGTCCCGTTGTAATTTTCGTATTGAGCCGAATATTCTGACGGCGAAATAAATCAGTTCAACAGGTAAATGTCTTTAATAATTAATACGCGTTGGCGGACGATGCGCGCGGGAGGAGGGAGGGAGGGGGAGGGGGGACAGACGTAACATCGTAAAAACAAATTCTTCGTTGAACGCATGCGCATTCAACCATATCCTCTTCCCCCTCGAAATCATCCCTCTCTCTCCCCCTCATGATCGACGACGATAAATGAGAGACGCAAAAAGTGAAAATTAATGCGTAATTGCGAAGCGGTTTTCGAAAACGTTTACACGGCATCGAATACGACGGGAAGCATGTTTGAAACTGAGCCAACAATACGCGTCCCGGCAGCACGTGTAAAGATGCAACGACAAATATTTATATTTTTCGGTTTTAATGGAAATTCATGTTGGACGCGTAGCAGGCCAATCGCGGATTAACGATTTGTATTAACCAAATGTAACGGCCGCTTTATTTCCGCAGATATTCCGTGCAAATAGACACGCGTAATCATTGCATACACACAATCCGCTAATATATTTACATTTTGATAAACCTCTTTCATCGATAAACCCTTCAAACGCGTAATAACTCGTAATATCGTTTGGTACCGCACGGGAGGGAAATCGACGAGTCGAAGGCTTGATATGTTAAGCGAGATTAAAATAAAAAAAAAAAAATATATATATATATATAAGGGGTAGGGGTGGGATAGGGATATATAAATAAAGCCAACTTTTTTTTATTGCTCTCTCAGGATCCGGCGAAATGCGCCGTGACGATTTATCGCTTCCATTCCTGACGGTGAAATAAAAGAAAATGGAAGTGCCCTGCCACGAATTACACGTAATGTAATGCGCGGATTGACGTTGCAAAGTTTGACGCGCAATTGGGAATAGAAAAAAAAAAAAATGGTTTTGATTGCAACATGTACGAAGATAGTGAAATATGTCATTTTGAATGACTCATTCGTCCCAGGTGTCTTAGAAGCCGTGAATTTTTTGAAAAAATAACCATATATATACATATATATATATATATATATATATGTATATATAATTTCACAGCTATTTAAGAAATAATGCTACGAAAAACAGGTGTGAAATCTTGCTTGTTTAATTGTACATCAGCGTTCAAAAGAAGCAAATATACCACATTAAAGTATAGTATAGTAAGGTGCATTTAAATTTAATAAGCTAATGCGATATATATTCATTTCAGAGTATATATCGACCTCTATATTCTAAATAAAACATTGATTGATTTAATCTTTTCTATTTTCATCTTGTGCTCCAAATAATTATGAAGCTACGCACTGTGAATTGTGTTTCGAATATACATATATATATACATCAAAATAAATAAAATGTTACCAAATTTCCGTGAAAATTTATTAAGTTATCCATTAATGATTGTGGCGTCTCTGCATCTTCTATACTACCTCTGCGAAAAGATCAAGGAATAACCTGCACAAAAAGAAATCAAAAGTTAGCACAAATGTATCAAATAAAAGCAAATATATAAAAATAAAAGGACAATCAACTTTAAATTCTTAAAATTTAAATTAATAAAGGGGAAGAGACAAGCTACCGGTAACCGGTTACGAATGAAATTGACACTGAAAAGTTTCAAAGCATCATACGATTTTATTATCGTAATACTCAATGAATCGTTAAATACCCGCGTATTAATTAAATAATACTAATGAGGAATAAATGAAAGTAAAAGAGATGCGATGTAACGTGTGTTGTTATCACGAGATTCTATAGCCAAATGACTATACTCGTGTATAGTGCGTAACACATACAGCAGAAAAGATTAGAATTTCATTCACGATGAATGTCTATTTCCAAAACTAATATAATAAAAATAGAAAGCGAAAAAGTACGTCCGTCTTCATTGGGATAAATAAAATATTAACCTTCGAGAATAGTTCCCGGATGTACCAATCTTTGTAGCGTCCTTAAATTTCATGACGTCTCTTTAATAGTTCGAGGCAATAACCAACAACCTATACAAATGAAACCAGAACAAATAAATAAATAAGTAAATCAAATAAATGTACAGAAAGTGCAAATTATGTAAAAATGAAGATCAAGACTCAAATTTTCAAAGCTTACAATATGAGTTACCAATAAACGTAACTAATAAGACAATCGAAGAAATATAATTTAATATATATACATAATAAATAATAAAAAGAAATATAATTTAATATATATGTAATAAATAATAATAATATTCAATAAATTATCGTAATAAAACATACTTCAATTAAACGAAGTTAACAGCACGAGAGTACGACGAAAGTATTGCACTGAATGATACGTCTTAACGTCCTCATGTTCAGCAACTGACTGCGTAACAGAGGTCGCATCGCATAATAATTTAATAGGACGCGAGCTCGAGCATACACGAACAGGATTTGAATTCCTGGAAAAACAATTTCTTAGAAATATTTCCGACAGCGAGAAGTGTTTACGACGAATGTCGCATCGGATATTATACACGTTCGTATAAATGTACCGAATATTACATGCTAAATTCACTTTTGGTTACTCACTCATTTATTTCATTTATTATTATTTTTTTTTTTTTTTGTTCATTCTACAAAAATGTTCATACTGGCCAATAATGATAAAGTGTACAAGGTACCTACATAAATATTAGATAAGATAAATATAGACTACGCGTAGATAATATATTTTTAACAAATTTGATGAAAACTGGAATTTAACTCGTAGAGTATCTTATAAAGAACAGCTATGAGAACGAGCGTAGATCATTAAACATTTTTTATACAATACAGTTCTCGTAGCTTGACAAATAAAATTGAATATGAATCGTTGAACAGCACGATCGATCGACTAGTAGCTACCAAACAGATTTATTAGATTTATAAATATGTGTTAATAAGCGAAACAAATAACGAAAAACCACAACGAATACTTAAGTTTCTTTGCGCACAAAGCTAAGTGTAAGTGACGGTACATTAAACACACGGCACTTCCTTTGTACTCAGCATTCGATACAACCGTTTTACACGACTGAAAAGTTCAAATCCCTAATTCCGCGTGCCGCGGTAAACCGTTTCCTAAACGCATCCGTCGAACCAACGAGGCTGCAGTTCACTGAGAAACAACCGGGCGATTGCACGTTTTCCATAGAGAAAACCAGGTTGCGTTCCGAAAATGCTCGGTAATCTCGAGGTAAATCGTAACAACGAATCACTAACTAGACGAGTTTCATGATAGCAAAATAGCGAGACAAGACATCTGTCTTCGACTAGATTTCTCAATCTTCTGACTACCACGAACGTTTACTTTTAAACGATGCTGTCGAATATATATCATCTTGCTTAACAGAATGTTACTTCAAATAACAGTTAGTAAATTACTTCAGACTAATACTTTGTCCATTTGATTCGAAATAAAATGTGCCCAGGCCCGCTCTCTCGGTCGTTCATTTGCGCGTCTGCGAACTTCGCGACTTTCTAACCTGACCGCGGGTTAAGGAACACCGGAACAGACGAAAAAGACAACGTGGAAAGTTCGTAAAAGTCAGCGCGAGCGCGCGCTGCTCTTCTTGTCGCGCTTGCTTTTTCGCCGTTCTGTTCCAGTCTCTCCAGTTTCCACTCGAAAACCGAAACAGAAAAAAAA